GGACTTCTGGACAGCCAACAACATAGAAGATCCAGAATCTAGTGGGGCAGCCGCGCGCCTTAGGAAAGCCCTAGCCGAATGCCATCGGCTCAGCCTGCGCTCAGAGCCTCCCGAACCAGCCGCCAGTTCCGGATCGCCACGCATGCAGCCCAATCAACTCGCATCTTGGGCAGAGCATTTGCCACCCAAGCTCACATCCGAACGCGTGTCCAGCCTGATAGAAGCCTTCAAATCCAACTACCCAGGCGAGCTGCTGGACGCGGACACCACGCCGTCCATCCGCCTTCTGAGCCTCGTGCACGAGGGCCTGAAGCCCGGGCAATCCCTGAAGTGGGTGCCCTGGCAATATCGCCTCTCATCACGGCAATACCAGGAGCGCATGGAAGCAAAGTCAGCCCGAGCGGTCCGCTCGGAGTTGCAGCTCCTGAGCCAGGCCTTTTTCGACGACACGCCAGAGGTCTCTGTGGAGCATCGCTCGCTGGCAGCGGGGTGGCTCACCCGTATCCAGACAGTGTTTCGCAATGCCCTAGCCCTGTGCCAAGCAGCGCACCTGTCCAACCTCAAGGCCTTCGACAAGAAGATAGCCGATTTGTGTCTCACACAGCCAGATCCGAACCAAAGAGCTTCTGTCGGCCGATCGCAAGCTCTGGGCAGCCATATCCGACCTTCTGGGGCAGCAATGGTCCCTGGATGATGCCTTGTACGAACTGACGCGCATGAGAAACGATGTGCGCAGCCTTCTACACTTGCGCCCCAAAATATCCAAGCCATCCGTGCCAGCACCTCCACGCCCGGCCAAGACAAAGGGCACCCAAGCGCGACCTTAAGCCGACCCGCATGCCTTCACGCCCCGCCAAGAAAGGCAAGGGCAAATCCAAAGGAGCCTCTCCTTCGCCAAAGCCCAAGGCAGATTGGTGCACTACATATAAAGGTAGAGAGGTTTGCCGGCCTTCCCTGGCCCTGCAATTGGCCCAAATAGGCATAGGAAGGGTAAGTAAAACAGGCTCCTTCCGGCTATCTGCCGCTGCACTCTAACACTGTCACCTTGGCGCCTTGCAGGCTCCCCATGGAGCAGGAATGCACTCCTCAGCGGATTGGTGTCTCCCCAAACCCGAGCACCCTTTGCAGGCAGTCGCCAGGCCCTGGCTGCACTGGATGCATGAGCGCAAACTCGTGCCACGTATCCTGGCACACGTCAACAGCGGTTCCTCGGACTGCCCGCTCTCGCCCTCCGAAAGCCTGGAAGCGGCAACTCTAGCGTATACCGCGTTAAAACTGCCCTGCCCTTCAGATATGAGCCCCGAAGCAGGACAGCCATACCGACTCCACCTGCTGCATGCCCTGGCCAAATCTTGGGGTGACCCGGACATGGCCCTCCTTCCATTTTTGCAGCACGGAGTGCCGACAGGAGCCGTATCAGCCTTGCCTCCAAGTCTTCAATGGCCAGCAAAGAAGCCAGACTCCATGCCGCAGCGATCTGGAAATTTGTGAAGGCAACTGGAAGATGGCCGAAGACGAGCCAGAAACCGTGCAAGGTTTGCTGCTCAAGGAAATTGCTAACAACTGGATTGTTGAAACCAGCCTTAGCATAGCCGACGCTCGGGAAAAATGGCCCTTAGGCATTGCCGTGGGCAAGCTTAATGTCGTGTTCGCCGAAGGCAAAGAACCTCGCCTTGTCTTGGATAGCACCGTGTGCCAGGTCAATACCAGATGCCATTTGCCAGAGCGCCTTAGCTTGCCCATGGCCTCTGATTTGGCGCTGTCCACGCAGCCAGAGGACACTCCAGGTGCCTTCATCGGCGCCAGCATTGACTTTAAAGCCGCACACAAACAAGTGCAGGTCCGCCCGGAGGAACATGGCCTTCTTCTCTTCGCCTTTCAAGGGAAGCTCTACCACTACAGGGTGTGCCATTTTGGGGGCCGTTTCTCGGCCTTCTGGTGGCAGCGCACCGGCGCTTTCTTGCTTCGTCAAGTGCATGGGTTGCTAGCCTGGAAGCCGCACAAAGCCTTTCTCTTTGTGGACGACCTGCTCTGTGCACTCGTCCGGGATAGCGCACCAGACATGTTTGCCTTGGTGGTGCTCTTCTTTTGTGCCATTGCAGCACCCATTTCGTGGAAAAAGGTGCAATTCCAGGATAGCCTGGTTTGGTGCGGTTGGGAGATCAACTTCTCTCACGACACCATTCAGCTCATGTCGCCAAGCTGGACGCCTTGATCAAATCCCTGCTGGGAAGCCGACGTGTGCCTCGCAAGACACTCGAGCAGTGCATAGGCCTGCTGATTTGGGCCACCAGCATTGCCCTGCACCTTAGGTCCTGGCTGGCACCGCTTTACGCGGACCTCAACAGCCCACCAGGCTCCATGCACTCAATACCACCGCAAATGTGGTCGGCCTTTCGAGCATCCTTGACAAGGGACCTCAAAACTAGTCACAGCCTGCCGGGATTGTGGATCACAGCGGGCTCCAAAATCTTGGAAATTTCAGGCCGCACCTTGCATTGCCTTGAAGACATTCCGCGAGTGCCTGGCACTAGCAAGCCCACATGGGTGCGCATCGCGGACCCCAACAACCCATACACCAGCCTTTCCAAGTCAAGTCAACAGAGCCTTACTTGGCTGGCGTCGTGCTTTCGACACTCGCCCATTCAGCCGTTGGCGCGGCCACGCCAGCTGCAAGCTCTGGCTGCCGCCGACGCGTGTGCTGAAGATGAAATGGTGGGGATTGGGGGCTGGGCAATCACATCCTCCCAAGTGGTGTGGTTCGCCGAGACCTGGAACATGCAAGACATAAGAGCCGTGTGGCCTTGCCTTGTCAAGCCAGCACAGCGGTATATCGCATGCTTTGAAACACTTGCACAGTTAGCACTGCTGCAAGCAACCCACAGCCACATTGGTGGTGGGCACTACTCGTTTAGCATGCCGTCCGGCACGGACAATTCCGCCACGGAAGCAAGCCTTAACAAATTGTTCACGACCTCATGGCCGTTGCAACTTTTTGTGCAGTTAACAGCCTTCTGGGCTCACGCTCGCAACGTGCTGCTGCAGCCAACGCACGTTCCAGGAAGGTGCAATGATTGGGCAGACGATCTCAGCAGAGGTCGGTTGGCCCGATTCAGCCATCGCCCTGAAAGTCGCATGCGCTTCAGCCCTGCAAGCCTGGCGATGTCGGGCCGAGGCATTCAACTGTGTCCGATGCATGCGCCCTGGCGTCCGGAACATTTGGCAGCAGCTTCCATCGTCGCTGAGCCAGCCTAGCCTGCATCCGACTTGGCCTTCCGAGCCCTTTTCTGCCGTTGCCTTGTCAGCCAGAACAACTGGCAATGTCAGCCAGCCGCTTACACAAGCCGCTCTGACCAGAAAAAAGTGCAGTCGCCGCATGCCGAGCTGTTCACAACACAGCGTGCATGGTGACGCTAGCATCTGCCCTGCCAGGTACAACCCCACTCTGAAGGGCGGGTGATGAGGCCTTCGGCCCAGCTGGTTCGCTTTTACCGGGGTTGCCTGAAACACTGAAGGGGGGGTCAATGCGCCTCCTGCTCCAGGCGCACTAGTGCCCTGGAAGCAGTGCAACTTTCAGCAATCCCGGTAAAAAGAACTGCGGCCGCTTCGGACGAGCTTTGTTCTTTTGAGGTTTCATGTTTGGGTTCAAGCTAGGAGCAGTGCGACATGCCTTAACGCTTAGGGTTTCTTTTCCCTTGTGTTTAGGGCATGTGGTGAATCGAACTATGCGTTGGCCGTTTTGCTCCTAGCCTTGACCCAAACCTGCGGTTTCATTTCGAAACCCACCCACCCACCCTGCATTGCCCTATGCCAGGCTTTGCCAGGATAGACGGCAGTTTCTCTGCACTTTCGTGGGTCGCCTCCGGGCACTGTGGTCTCCGGACTAGGTCTCCGGACCAAAATCGGTCTCCGGACCTCGAGTCTCCGGACTGTCGGTCTCCGGACCTTGGGGCGTGGGCACGCGTGCCGCGCCCCCCCAAGCACTGCATTTACCCGCAAGGACACGCATTGTCTTGCCTTTTCACATTTCGGGGGGTCAATGTGCCTCCTGCTCCAGGCGCACTAGTGCCCTGGAAGCAGGGCAACTTTCAGCAATCCCGGTAAAAAGAACTGCGGCCGCTTCGGACGAGCTTTGTTCTTTTGAGGTTTCATGTTTGGGTTCAAGCTAGGAGCAGTGCGACATGCCTTAACAAGCGTATTTTGTTTGGTTTCAGGACGTGCTGAGCGTTGGGTTGCGCCTGCGGCACGTCTGTCCTTGGTCTTCTGTCGGAGTGCCTGAGTTAGAAGGTTGAAGAGATTTTCAACATCTCAAAGGGCGAAGATTCAATCAGAATTAAAACACAGGGGAACAAAAAATCCCAGTGTTAGAATTCTGTCTTGCTTCAAGCCCAGAACAGACATGCGACAAACACAGCCAACCCACGAAATAGCGCGCAGCTCTTTTTTGGCAGGAGTTGCTTAGAGGTATCAGGCTTAGGGATGCAGATGGTTCGTCCGGCCCATGTCGTCTGCATCCCATGCGGAGCCTGGGGACAAACCCCCACTTTAGGGCTGTATGCAACTTTAATGCGGTTGCGCAGCTTCCCCGTGGTCGGGGCGGCCACGGTGCATCTTCAGGATGCAATGTCAACGCGGATTTGTGCGGCCAGAAATCATGTGCATGGTGTGTGAAAAACGGGGAATTTCCTTTTCAGTTTGATCACAATCAATTTCTTTCGCCGAAGCTAAGAAAGCACCTGCCAAATTTGCGGCCCGTTTGTGCGACTTGCTTTGTTGGACGGCCGCGTTTGGGAATCTTGATCAACCCTGATGCGTGTAAAAGGGGCTTCGTACACTCCACAAAAGCGGTTGCACATTGCCTTCTTGCCAGTGTGGTCAAATTATTTTTTTTGTTTTCCCTAGTTTTCATTCCACGTGGAGCCTTTTGATCAACACCGGCTCGGGTGCGCAACTTCTCGGCTCAATTGTGGAAACACCTCGCTCCCAATACTTCCCGGCCGAGTTCAGCTGCGAGCAACAAGGTAGAGAAGTTGTTGAAGCCACCATGAATGCCGATCCGCCCAAGGACTGGATGACGGGATCGATTTTCCTCCATTTTTGCGCTAGGTATCGAAGGTGTTTGGAGGAAACCATTGTTAGCCGGACTTCAAAAATAGACATGTGGCAAAATTGGCGCAGAACTTTGGCAGGGGGGAGTGCAAGGAGTGTGCCTGAGAGACGTTTCCTTTTGGGGAAATTTATGTTGAGATGGGCACCCATGCAATCGGGCTCCCTGGTTGAGGTTTCGTTTTTGTTTTTTCCTCAGCTGCTTTCCATGGCCGAGTTTATGTTCCGGGCAAGCAGGGCCTAGTCGGAGCTTAGCCCTCCAAAGTCCCAACCACCCCTGCGCAGCATGTTGCATTTTGCGGCCAACGGGAAGCACGCTTTTCAGCGGCGTTGCTTGGAGACAAGGGCGTCTCTTCTCTCGAAAAAAATTGGCAGGATGGCAGCGCCAAGAACGACGCCTCTCCCGAGCTGCGCCTGGGCGTCTTTCAGAAGAGAAACGCATTCGGGGGGGGGGGGGGGGGGGGGGGGGGGCAGATCTTTGGGCACGAGTTTTACTCCTTCGCCATGAGTTTGTTTTGTGTAGAGCCGAAAGAATCCCAGGTTTTGATTTTGAGGAAGCGGCAGCAACATCTTCAGATGTGGCCGACCTTGAAAGATGCTATCCACGGCTTTGGGTGAGTGGATCCAGACGTTTTATAATGTTTTAGGCTCTCAGGAATTCTTTCGATCGCCCTTTGATTCGGGCTTTGCAAAATCTCATCAGCCATATTGGACCCCTCGTTATGGCCGGCGCTCTCGGGAGTAACGAGAAGTAGTCCAGCACTTCAAGGACCTTAGGACCACTATGATTTACGCAACTGAGGATGGTACACATAAATCTGAACCGGGGTGTCCAATCTGATACGGGTGTGCCACTTCGTCGTAACATGCTTTGGCTTCCAGGTTTTTTGCTTTTGCAACAAGGCAGGGCTGGTGTGGGGTGCGTTAGCGACCCTTGAAGTTTCTTGTAACTAAGCTATTCTCATGTCAATGTGAGGTTCTCCACCTCATTATGTTGCCTTTGCTTGAAGGGATCCACGGTAGCGCTTGGTTGCATGCTTAGTTTATTCGATTCAAGCATCAACTTTCGCCAATACATGGCGCCAGTTTGAGGATAAATTGGCATGGCACGGGGTGTGATTTGGAACAAACACGAAAACGTTGTTGAGGAGAAGCTGAGGAGCAGGTAGGTGCTCCCAACCAGAGTCCTTGCTACCATGGGCCAGGGTTTCGAGTTGTCGTTGTTCCAAGCGCCACGGGCGCCGCTTTGGGTTGGCCACAATTTGCTTCAGCATCATAAGGCCATGGCATGTTCCTTGCAAGACTGAGCTACAGACTGTGCTCGAAAAATGCGGTGAAGTCAATCCTCTTCTTGGTACTGAACCACTGGTTTGCCCGACCCGTCTTTGGGGGTTACCAGGATGGCCCTGGAGGAGGAGCCAGAGGAGGCAGCTCCAGCGCGACAGAAGGAGCGGCGGCCGGGAGTTGCCATCGAGGGGCTGGTTGCATGCCCCAATCATTTTCCACTGGGTCCCCGCTTGCCTGCCTAGTGGTGCTGGTCGTTTCTCCTCTTTTTTGGGGAAGGGTTCCCTTACTTGAAACTCAACTCAACCGAAAAAGGATACCAGTGTTTCCCATGGCCAATGCGTATCAAAAGAAGACACGGCCAAGTACTTGCCATCGTGTGCTTGACACGGAGCTCGCATTTGGGATGGCAAGCGTGCGCTTGCTTCGGAGGGATCCAGAGTTCAAAGGAAATGGAGAGCACCCGGCCCAACAGGTGCAATCCAAACATAGGAGAAGCCCTCGCCCCCTGTGGGCTTTGGGGAGTGGGTATCCCAAGGACATGTTCCATTGAAATCCACCCCATCTCCAAAAAAGGCGGCGGCCAGTGCGCAGGAGGAGGAGGAGACAACCAAGCCAAAGCCTCCGATGGCTTCCATTTGCAAGATGTTTTCCATGATGAACTGCACTGAGGCCATGGGAAGTTGAGGATGGCTTGAGGCTTGATGGTGTGATTTGGCCCCTCCTGAAATTTTCGTCAACTCTCAGCTGACATCATTTCGCCTGAGGTTCTGCAGGAACTGTGATTAAATGGTTGTTTGATGTGATCCTGTAATTTGTCAGGGAGGGTCGTTTGCGCGGAGCTTCCGCTGGGAGCTCTATGACTTCATTTTACATTTGGTTCACTGGATATGGCTAGCAGATTCTGTCAATGTCATTGTTGCGAGGGGCGATTGGACTTGTACAGGAAGTGATCCAAGTTAAGTTGCACCAGCAACTTGATTGTTTTGGGGTCGGCCACCTCGAAAGTTACACCCATCTTCGAAACAATCAAAGTGGATGTGTTCCTTCCCATGGAAAGCTCCGCAAGGAAACCGGCTGGCTGGGGGACAGTGACTTGAGTATGAGTTGACCCGACAGGAGGCTTTTTGATGTTTCATTCTAAGGGAAACAGGAGACGAGAAGAGGACAAGGAGGTCTGAAAGGACATCAATATCTGATGTAAAGGCCGCAGTGTTGGATGGGCTTCTTTGGTTTGAAAGGCAAAAGAGAAGGAAGGGACAGGCAGGGAGCAACGGAAGAAGAACATTTGGCTCAAGCCTCAAGGCAGACTCAAGATTCTGAGGGGGAAAGAAAAGGGATGGAAGAAAGGACATGACATGACATCCGCAAAAACGGCATTGTTCGCGCCCTTGCGCCGATATCAACTCTTCTCTGGGATCCTGAAGGAACCAAGGAACCTAGGCAATTTGCTCGCTCACTCCTTGGGGGAAAACCAGCTCACCCAAGGCACTTGTGATTTGGTTTTAAACTTGTGACTGCGTTGAGGTCGACTATGTTTGTTCTGCCAATCCCTCGTTCGAACTCGAACAATTTGCCCAAATTAGAGCGTTTTTGCTGCAGTGTGCTAACCGTTGAGTGTGTTGCATTGTGCATGTCCTAAGGCTCATGTGAATGAGAAGTCAGGTGAGAATTAACTAGTGGAACCCATGGGTTCGATTTGAGTTTTCTTCAACCTCAAAAGGCTTTCAGTTCCCTGAAAGGACGCCATGTTGACCAGTGCTGAATGAATAAGCCCATGGTTGATTCTCCCCAATTGCTCCCTGGCGTTTGGGGCAAACATTTTCATCCTAATCCAACAGGTTTATCAATGTGGGCTCGAGCTGACAGTCTTGGGGGTGGCTGATTTGATTTTTTAGTCTGATTCCCTCAGACCTGTTGGCCTTGGGTGCTTTGTGAGATAGGGATTAGCTTTTGGCTGCAGACGTGAGCCCCACCTAGCTGACACCATCAACAACTCTTTTCCGCTGCTTTGCCTTTTCCGACCCCAACCAGTTTTTTCCCTCCGTTTTTTTCTTTAGTCTTGGTCAGGATTCGCCCTTGCATTCCGTGGGCCATTGGTTCGAGTTTCGGTCGAACAAATCCATGGAACAAGCATGTTCGATCCCCTGTTTTGCTTGCTTTGCGGGCTCAAAGCCGTCGAAGCTTAGGGACAGTCCCAACCCTTGAAATGGGTGCTCGGTGGCTCTTGTCCATGTCTTAGGCTTGCGGCTTGGTTTAGGGGCTTGGGGTTTGAGGCTTGGAGTGAGTGGCTGGGGCTTTGGGGTGTTGGGGGTCACCATTTTGGGGTCACCGATCGGTTTTGATGACTCGGCTTCTGAATCACCGCGCATCCGAAGGCTTTGGTCTTGTTGGTGGGCACGCTGGGCGCCGTGGGCAATGGGGTCGCCCAGCCGTTGCTTTGCATCGTCTTCGGTGACCTCATCGACTCCATGGGCACCAACACCGTGTGCCTTGGAAGATTTGCAGCGGGATTAAAACAACAACAAACTAGGGCCAAGAAGCTGTGTGCCTTCTGGTTTATTTGGTTTGCATGTATGTATGTAATGTATGTATGTATGTATGTATGTATGTATGTATGTATGTATGTATGTAATGTATGTATGTATGTATGTATGTATGTATGTATGTATGTATGTATGTATGTATGTATGTATGTATGTATGTAATGTATGTATGTATGTATGTATGTATGTATGTATGTATGTATGTATGTATGTATGTATGTATGTATGTATGTATGTATGTATGTATGTATGTATGTATGTATGTATGTAATGTATTTATGTAATTAATGTAATGTATGTATGTATGTATGTATGTATGTATGTATGTAATGTATGTATGTATGTATGTATGTATGTATGTATGTATGTATGTATGTATGTATGTATGTATGTATGTAATTTATGTATGTATGTATGTATGTATGTATGTATGTATGTATGTATGTATGTATGTATTATGTAATGTATGTATGCAATGTATGTATGTATGTATGTATGTATGTATGTATGTATGTATGTATGTATGTATGTATGTATGTATGTATGTATGTATGTATGTATGTATGTATGTATGTATGTATGTATTTATTGTATGTATGTATGTATGTATGTATGTATGTATGTATGTATGTATGTATGTATGTATGTATGTATGTATGTATGTATGTATGTATGTATGTATGTATGTATGTATGTATGTATGTATGTATGTATGTATGTATGTATGTATGTAATGTAGTAATGTATGTATGTATGTATGTATGTATGTATGTATGTATGTATGTATGTATGTATGTATGTATGTAAGTAATGTAATGTATGTATGTATGTATGTATGTATGTATGTATGTATGTATGTATGTATGTATGTATGTATGTATGTATGTATGTATGTATGTATGTATGTAAGAATGTATGTATGTATGTATGTATGTATGTATGTATGTATGTATGTATGTATGTATGTATGTATGTATGTATGTATGTATGTATGTATGTATGTATGTATGTATGTATGTAATGTATGTATTTATGTATGTATGTATGTATGTATGTATGTATGTATGTATGTATGTATGTATGTATGTATGTATGTATGTATGTATGTATGTAATATGTATGTATGTATGTATGTATGTATGTATGTATGTATGTATGTATGTATGTATGTATGTATGTATGTATGTATTTAATGTATGTATGTATGTATGTATGTATGTATGTATGTATGTATGTATGTATGTATGTATGTATGTATGT